AGCGGGCCCTTCCGCATACTGACACTGATTTGAAGCAGCGAGTAGAGCATACTCTGTGTAGCTGCATCAACTGTCGCTCTTGGACATTAACGTATTAATTATCGTTCCGCCCTTTATATTTTGCCTCTGCAAAATGTTTGTCTAGAAGCTTCTTAAATTCGGCCACTGTATTCGCCTCAATTACCGGCTGCGGCAGGTTGTTCCAGGTGTTCACCACCCTACGTTCGAAACAGAGTTGGTGAGCTACCCGCTTCAACTGCGGTACGATAAGTTTGTACCGGTGTCCTCGCGTGCTGCTTGGTGTGCGCAGATGAAGCAGTTGTCTCAACATGGGGTAATCACTCAGATGTAATATCCGGTGCGTCATGATGAGGTCAACCCTCAGCCGACGATATGCTAGGGTGTACAGCCCTAGTTTCTTGCATCGGTCTGCATATGGCATACCTCGTAAGTTGGGAATCAGCCTAGTGGCTACATGCTGCACCCGCTCAAGCTTTTCTACCTCGCCCAGCGTGATGGGACAATATGCGGGAGAGCCGTACTCTAGCATTGGTCGTATTATCGAGACGAAGAGGCGAGTGGCAATCTCTTCGGACCAAGTGCTGAAGCTGCGCCTGAGCGCCCAAAGCATCCGAAGGCTGTTTTGACACAGCCTATTCGTGTTGTCAATGGACTTTAGGTCGCAGCGTGAGAGCACACCGAGGTCGCACACGAAAGACGCGGGATGCAGCGGTTGATCAGCCACTGTGTACGTTCGGCTGTGCTCGCATTTACCCAACCACATGAATTGCGACTTAGCAGGGTTGATCGGAAGGTTAACCTCTGCAGACCATGTTGAGAGGCTGTCGAGATCCTGCTGAAGTAAATCACAATCATTGAGTGTGCGGATTACTCTCCACGCCTTCAAGTCATCTGCGAACAACGCACATGGTGATTGGAGTAGCTTAGGCACATCGTTTACATGGATCAAAAACAATATCGGCCCCAGTACTGTGCCTTGGGGCACACCGCTGCTCGATGGATACTAGTCCGTTAGATGGTTGTCCACCTGGACTCTCCACTTCCGATCCACAAGGAAATTTCTGATCCATTTGTGTAGCGAACCACTAACACCGTACATCCTCAGCCTGTCAAGGAGCACTGCATGGTTAACCTTGTCAAAAGTCTTACTGAAGTCAATGTAAATGACATCGACTGAACGGCCTTGGTTCATCGCTTAAAACCACTCATGCCTTGTCAACAGTAGGTTGGTGATGCACGAGCGACATTTCATGAAACCATGCTGTGCGGAGGTCAACAGGTTTTTCGACTCGAGAAGCTGCAGAAGGTTGTTCTTCACGATCTTCTCGAGCGTCTTTGCCAAAACAGCAGTCAGGCAGATTGGCCGGTAGTTAGCCACTCTACTTGGGTTAACACCTTTCGGTATAGGCTTTACGACTGAGCATTTCCAGTCATCTGGTAACAGTCCAGTAGTTAGTGACCTGTTAAACAGTTCAGTTACAGAAGGTGCGATAATGGCCGATAACGAATTGAGGATCAGTGGGTGTATTCCATCTGGCCCAGCAGGCTTTGCCCCGTCAAGATTTGCTAGAAGCTTGCGCACATCCTCAATATTGCAGTCCAGGCTGTTAAGTTCGGCTGGAGCGGTACTCGTCGAACTCGTTACAGACATCTGGTCACTTGCAAATACGGAGGCGAAGTGCGTCGCCAATGCGGACGCACGATCTGTACTCGATCTGTACTCCATCAGAGCCTTCTAACACTGGGACATTGGCTACAGGTCTCAAGCGCCGCTTCACGTATGCAAAGATCCACTTAGGAGCAGTTTTTGCGGCGGCTGCAGGCTTCTCTTCGAAGCTTCTGCGTTTTCTTGTTTTCGCGTCGTTGCAGCGATTTCGCTGTAACTTATATGCATTGTAGTCCTCATCAGAGCCAGATAACACGAACTTGTTCCATAGTCTGCGTCGTCGTCGGGCCAGTTTGTTGTACTCTTTGTCGAACCAATGTGGTTTGACTGGCCCAACTTTTCGAAATTTGAGGGGTACAAATCGGGCGCACAACGATTTCACTCCATCTTTAATGATAGTCCAACAGGTTTCAATAGATGAATCCTGTGGTAAAGACCAGTCCGTCTGGCTCGCTGCTCGAATGAGGCCATTAAAGTCCGCCTTCCAATAGTTGAAGGCTGGCTCCAGTGGGAAAATAATCTAGATCTGAACCCGTTGGACCACCACTGAAAATTGGGCAATCAGAGCGTGCCTCACAACTTTGTCGAGCTCCGGTAGAGCTTGAGTTAGTAGCTCTCGGACGTAGGCCGCCTTGAGCCGTCGCATGGTATACTGGCGGTCAGCCGCTAAATCGAACGACATCAACTGCTCCGCCTGCACAGCAAGACATTACACCTTAAGCGGCAAGACTGCAAAGTTCGAGGTAACATCCATGCTGCTCTTGAGGATGATTTTCAGAATTAGATTCCACCGGATAACTCTCGATTCAATCACTTTCAACCACATGTCCCTATCACTGCGGCCACGCGACCTGCAGTTCTTACCGCACTCGATTACAGCGCCAATCGTAGTGGTAGAACGAGGATTAGACAGAGTGATCATACAATGAGATCAAACGTGTTCACAATTTCATAGCGAGTCGGTCATTAGGCCGCTCAGTCGCACGCCCCTGCTCCGGTCTAGAGTAACATGAATCGATCACAATGCTTTGGATTATCTAGTCATAAGCGTGTTTTGCAATAGGGCACGCATCCCTCAACATATGTTTACAGCAATGCATAATCGGCACACTCCCATCCTGACTCCAAAATGTTTACCAGTCGTTCATCACAACGAAGCCCTCAGCTTGATGACATCCCGTTCCAGATAAAATTAATGGTTGGGTAATCTCAATTTAGACCTCTGCAAGAACCGTATCTCTGAGACTACTTGCTGCCACCTTGGAGCATAACGATGCGTATCACATGGTACTTAGCAGTTGTCAGCGAGTAGCTCACGCTGAATGAAACTCGATGATACGCTGGAGAGTGTCATGTGTGGTCACGTCGGAAACAACACGTTTCCGAAACAGTTTGCTTCCGATCGATTCATATTAGTGTTGCGGGCCCGTCAAAAATCCCCGCAAAAAACGCGCCAGTAACTCCGGCATAATGGCTGTGGGAAGCGGAGTCCAATTTCTCCCCACAACGCAGCAGTGTTCAGCCACTCCGAGGAGCGTCCCAACTGCGAACCTTTTGACAATGGTCATTTGCAAACTACCACCTCTGCGTGGTGACTTTTTTCCCTAATTTAATAACCCATAACACTGGTTGTGATTGCCCTTTATCGGTCGTAAAAGAGCCTACAGAGGACCACTTGTCTTTTCCTTCTATTCGCCTCAGTTGGGGGTCGGTCGGGTCGCGTGATTGCGTGTGAATCGTTAGCTGGCCAGCCTTCGCGTCTAAGTCATTAGCGCGCGTCTATCGTACCCCCTCTCGTGTGCGTCCGTTTTCGAGGCCTCAGCGTCTATACGAACAAGTGCGGCTAAGATCGTTCCCACGCTCGTTCAATTTTCCGTCTCACCGGCTAAGCTAACGTCATCGTAGGCGTGCTCCAACCGTGCGAGCGACAATCTTGTCACGCAATTACCTCAAGAGGCGGCGTTCCCTCAATTATAACAGCGGCGACTCAATCATAACAATTAGTAATCTGCACAACATATAAATCAAACGAGAAAGGTGCTGGTGAGCAGCAGTCAGCAAAGTGCGTGCCACAACCATACCTGGGAAAACAATGAAAAGCAGATTTTTCCAAGGTACATTGCAAATTATAACAAGACTGTACAATGGGGTCAAGGAAAGAGGAATTCGCTCCACAAAATAAGATGCGTGGTTTGAGTCTCACGCTATATAAACAGTCTCATCGGCACGACGCTTTTTGGCGGCCAACACGCCCGGTTTCGCTTGGGCATCTGGATGATTGGCAAGTTCGTGCGGGCATGTTGAGACGGGGGATTGCAACAGCAGTTGCTTCAAATCATAATACACCGGGGTATCCTCCTTCGTGAGCAGTGTGATCGCCGTACCAGATTTGCCAGCGCGACCAGTTCGACCGATTCGATGTACGTAATCTGGAGAGAAACACTTCATCAAGTAAGTGGTCATTTTAAAGAGGTTATAACAGGCGCGCAAAGAAATGAACGGACGGGTGACAGGGAATCTTTTGACAGTTGCAGAGGCAACCACTCGATACAGGTGATAGTAGCGTAACACAGATGAGAGTGACAAGTATTCAAGTTTTATCTACTCGAGCAACTGCACTTAAAGCATTTCATAACAGCTACTGCGGATTGACTAAAATAGCACCATAGAAATACAAATGGAAAAATGTCGACGGGTGAACACGGGTGACACTCAAACGGTCCCGATTCTGCAGGTGACGACTGCAAGTAGCTAAAGTGAATCAGTGGTATTTGAATCCAATTGACGGTACAGTATCGAAGCCGTTTGTGATTTGGGACGATGACACATCAAATTTTATAATGCGTATATGACTTCATCGCCGAAATCAACAAAACGCGCAGTAGCACGTATTGCTTTTCAAAAATCGACGGAGAACAGCAATAATGACCAAACAAATAGGCTAAGATGAAAAACGCAGTGAAATCTGGATAAATTCGCTGCAGATGGAGTAAAAACGATGTCCCAATGGAAAGGTAGTTAACAGCGGTGATTGATTTGTAGTAACGCTTTAAGTAGAAATTGACCAAAAGTGACTATATGCTGAGCGTTATCGTAATGAATTAGCGGCAACAAACCAAAAAGAAACAAATCGTGTGCAAATAAGCCGCATCTATGGTGTTTTTGTGAGAATGAAGCCGCATGGTTGGTAATAAGCCAATCTTTCAGCATGTGAGTCGAACGAGTTAGTCCGCAAATTCGTCAGTTTCCTTTCGTGTGTTCTTCCCGCCGTTACCTGAGTGCACAGTGAGCACACGTACTAGTGAGGCTATCGTGACATGCTAAACAGTTACTTGGAGATGGTGATGCCGTGAGGAGATCAGTGGTCGGGCGAAAGTTTGAGCCATCTAGGACACAGGATGTGTATCAGGACCGTGGGAGGGAGCTAAGTGGGTAACAATTCTGCAAGCTAGGGCACTAAACGGCGGAGTTACAACCGGTGATTGAATATAAAGGCATTGACACAGTTTGGGGGTTTATCCGCTGGTTCAATACAAGGCGGTGCAAAATGTGAAATTCGATCATCACCCATTGAGGTTATGTGTCGACAGTGGAGATAACTGCTATACGACCAACAGTGAGCATCGACGCGTTAAACGTCGTCAACATGAACAGTGAAAAGTCACAGAAGAATTCTGTAGATGGCCTTCTACAGTGCCCATAAGAGAAGGCACGTTCGCCAGATCTTTTTCAAAGGCAGATTAAAATAAAAAAAGCAAAAATGAGCAACACAACTGGCTTACCGTCAATAGTTTTCGACATATCGTAGTTGATTACAAGAGATACATCCTTGATATCAATACCACGACCAGCTACATCGGTGGCGACGAGGATCTCCTTCTGGCCAGATTTTAAGCTGGCTAATGCGTATTCACGCTGTTCTTGACCCTTGCCTCCGTGCAATACAACTGCGCTGTGACCAAGCTTCTCTAGACCCTTAGCCAACATATCTGCACCTTTCTTCTGGTTGACGAATATGATAACTGGAGGATCGATACCTTTATTTAGAATCTGTAACAGTCGCTTCCTAAAAAAGGAGCAAAGAGCAGACTTGTAACAGTTTCATTTCGCATCTATGCAGCAAACAGAAGCACAAGTTAGGGCACACAGATGCACAAAAACAAAGTGAGTTTTCACAGCCCAAGAAATAATGGATTATGAAAGAGTACGAAGGCTTTAAATCATGATGGATCGTGGTGAGGCTGAACACCTTATTGTACTACCGAACGGCTGGTTCAGGAGGCCAATGGTATAACCACAGGGTCAATAAACGAGAATGGAGTAAAAAAGCGTCAAGGAGTTGGATGACAGCTCGAAAAGCCGATATGAGTAATCAGCAAGTATTCTTGTGATGTGTTCACTGTGAAGCAAATTACCGATCGGTTGTACAAATGGACATGCTAGTTGTATCAATAAGACCAAACTAGGTGGACAAAGACCAAAACGAACCGCTTTTCTTGTTCCGAGACCATATAAACGATTTGTTCCACTCGTTCAGTCGGTTTGCCCGCGCTTCCGATGTAGACAACTGCAGGTCGTCGGAGATATGACCTCGCCATCCGTTCCACTGCAGGCGGCATAGTGGCTGTGAACATGACTGTCTGACGATATTTGTGTTTCGTTGCAAAGTTAGAGAGCAGCTTGGAATCATCCTCAGCATCTTCGGTGTCTGGTTTCTCATTTGTTACCGGTAGATAGCTGAGGATGTTGTTCACTTCTGGTTCAAAGCCCATATCAATCATTTTATCGGCCTAGTGGAGGAAGACAAGTGATGAGAAGACGTATTGAAAGCAACACCAATATGTAAAGCACTGATAGAAGTCTTCTACATGGGCCCGCAACTCGTATCGTTCGCGTGACAATGGTTACGTGAAGCTGGTCAACGTGTAACGTGTACGTGAGTAAAGCGTAACCAAATGATGTAGATATAGGGACCTGTAATTTGGAAGGACTAGGCTACTAACAAAAGAAGCTGATAACCAGTGTCACTGGCGAAGCCATGACAGAGGTGGCCGGTAATCCGATTTGGAGAACATGGTCACTTTCCCCATCATTGAATCATACACTGACCACGGTTACGTGGCTTTCAATCGTCATGACTGTACCGAAATCAAAAGACCTCGCTAGTTTCCACAAGTGTCTAGGTATACATATAGCTTACCTCTGGAAAACGTGAATCAATCAACGCTTCGGACTAACAGTCCGAATATTAGGGGTTAGTAGAAAGATCAGCCAACTAAACCACGACCGTGACTTAACACTAGAACGCCCGGAGCGGTCATTTTGATCGCTCAGCGTTTTTAAACGTGCATATTTTCTACATTTATGGACATTTTTCAAAGATGTTTCATGACTTTTAATATTTTTAGACGTTCTTCATTACTGTGAATTTTCGTTTTCATATCTGTTATAGTTTTCGAGAAGAGAGGTAGCTGTGTTCATACTACCTAGAAAGCCCGTTAGCGGTCAAAATGACCGCTTCTCTCCATCGCAGAATGTGTTGAAGGCTAGACCAGGACCAACTCCCTATGCTAAGAAATGTGTGAAATATGGTGAGCTGTCGAGCACTTTTGACATCATAATCACGCCCCAGATGCTGAAACATATTCAAGTATGTACTGAAGCTGAGGCCAAGAGAGTTTTAGGTGTCAGTTGTCAGTGGAGCGTAAGTCTTCCAGAGCTGCGTGCCTTTATTGGTCTACTTTACATCAGAGGCTTCATGGGTCTGAAGAACATGCCGTTGAATATGATCTGGTGCGATAGATATGGACTGCCTATTTTCAAGGAGACAACTGGCAAGAACAGCTTCAAAGAAATAATGAGGTTCCTCCGTTTTGACATGCGAACTGCCCGATGTGAAAGACTGCTAACTGATAAGTTTGCTTTGGTATCTGAATTGTGGAATGCATTCATTCGCAACTCTCAACAATGCTATGTGCCTGCGCAGAATCTCACAGGTGATGAGCAATTGTTTCCCTCCAAAACCCGTTGTCGTTTTCTCCCGTACAAACCAGATAAATTCGGTATCAAGTTTTGGATGCTGGCAGAAGTAGACAGCAAGTATCTCGTTAATGGATTTCCATATCACGGGAAGGACGAAATTCGGTCAAGAGGAGAAAGTCTTGCAGAGAGCGTGGTATTGCGCTTGGTGTCACCATTATTTGGAAAGGGGTACAATGTCACATGTGACAACTTCTTTACATCGGCAGCATTAGGAGAAATGCTGGCCAAGAAAAACACAAGTATGGTGGGAACACTTCGGGCTAATAGAAAGGAAGTACCATCGATTTCGAAGCAAAGAAATAGAGAGCTGTTCAGTTCACTTATGATGAGGAATGAAAATAAGCACACATTAACATCCTACCAGTGTAGAAGGAATAAGTGTTTTGGTTTTCAGTTCCCTGCATAGTAACTCTTCCGTTCAAGACTCTGGAAAGAAGAAACCCGAGACTGTGTTGTTTTACAACTCCACAAAGTATGGTGTGGATGTACTCGACCAAATAACAAGAGCACTCATTGTGAAGTCATCATCTCGACGATGGCCAGTCCAAGTCTTTTTCAACGTACTGGATTTGGCTGGCATAAATTCCTGGATAATTTATAACAGTGTTTGCTGGACTAAAATATCTCGCCGGTCGTATCTGGAGGGTCTTTCGGAAGAACTGCTTACATGTATACATCACACAAGGTACGTGACAACGGGAATTACGACGAACAACTCAGCGGAGTCGGGAAGTCGTGTGAACATTAAACGTCGGCAATGTCAGATTGGTTACTGTAAAGGTGACAAATCACAAAACAAGTGCTCTGTTTGTGAAAAAATAGTTTGCGGCTCATGTGGACAGATTGAGCGAGTTATCACTTGCTTCAAGTGCAAATTGGAGTAGGTATACGGAATTGTTTACAATTTTTGAAAAAAAAACTAAACCTTAATACAAGCATTTTTCTGTTACAGGTATGTTCTATACATTAGTTTTTAATAAATGCCGTGAAAAAATTCTTAACTAAAAGTTGGAATTAAAAAAATATAGCAGTGCGGTCATTTTGACCGGTCCCGGGCGTTCTAGGTATAACGGCGGAGCGGTCTTTCTAGTGTTAA